ATAAGTGTTGATTGACCAAATAAACTGCTTTCATTATGTTGTGAGCGCCAATGTAAAATTTTAATCATGTCAAAAATCAGTGAGTTTATGCGATAATACAGTCCACAGCATAAACAAGATAATTCTGTCTCTTTAAAGACATTTAAACATGCTAGTAATTTAATTGGAGACATACGTGAAACTAATGGCAAGCAAAATGTATGAATAGAACAAAAAAGCAGGAGAAATGAGCAGAAAACTGTAGCACAGCTGTCATCCTGAATTTTTGTACAAGCGTTTCATTTTTCCGAGGGCTGCAACACTTAGACGGATTATTATCATGTAACATATGATATTGTTAGTCATGCTTTCCCCTCAAATGATCTTGTGATGTTTTAAGTGACGGGTAATGGTCTATACTGTCAGCAGAGAAATAACATTGTGACACCCCACCCTATTCAAAAGCCCCACTGGTAAAATAGCTGTAAGTTAAATTAATGTTTAAACTGCTTCACATTAATTTGCTCTATAAAAAGACTGTTTAAATATTTGTTAATATTTGTTAAGGTAAAACTTGGATTTATCTGGCTCCCAGTTCAGCTCAAAACTACCATTTCATATGACTGACTTTTACTGCGAAAGAAAAATAATCAATATGGGCTTGATTCTTACATTCTTGTTTGCATGCAGCAAGTTAACCATTTAATCTTTAGCAAATCAGCAAGTTGTACTGAGAAATAAAAAGCTGGACCACTCAGTGGATTTATTATATTTTAGTTTGACTTTGTGGGGCCAAGCAGGGGCTGCTCCAGCCAGCTCAGAGTAAATCAGGTAGTGGATTAAAGGACGATGATTATTTGTAGCTATGCCCTACATCTCTAAATATGATAACGTGCATGATAACATGAAGATGGCTCCTGTAACTATGCAGCAGTGTGCACTTTAATAACTATTCCAAAAAAAAAAAAAATCCCCAAAAAGCTGTACAGTGATGCTTTATTCTCACAGTGATACCATATTACTCTTAATGATACAAATCCACATAGTAAAGGGCCAAAAATTTCCAAATTGAATATGATATTGAATATTTGTGATTTTTGACCATCATTTTGCACTTTCCATTTCTGTCTCTTTCCACAAAAGGAGGGAACTGTTTAAATTGTTTTAAAAAAGCAGTTATTATTGCACTTCCCCTCTTCTTTGGTGCTTTTTGTACACAGCTTGTTCCAAAGGCGAGCAAATGCATGCAAGTAGTCCCAGCTAATGCAGTCATCTCTTGCAGGTGCATGGTGGCTTTAACTTGAGAAGTGCTGTTTTATAAAGAATAAACAGGAGCCTCAAACTGTTGATCCAGCGTTTCTGGTCTGTTCATTTCTCTGCCGTTTCCACCAGCAGGCTTGCCTCTGTGAATAAGCAAATCAGCACAGTTACAAAAATACTACTTATGCAAAGCTCTTACATCGCCATTGCATTTGATGTAACTGCGCAGCCAAAGAATTGATTGCCACAGATTGCTTTTGAATGATACTGGATTAGATTAAATCACATTAAACTCTGTTGTCATCGTGCAGCGAGAGCCTAGCAAAATGCTGTTCATAAAACTACATAGTGCAAGCAGTACTCAAGTGAATGTAGGTCTTCTAAACACGGATTATTGCACAAATGAGCAAAACACTGATAAAGAGAAAGTGTAATAGTACAGGATACATGTGTATTTACAGTACAAATAATCAAGCAGTTTACATTATGTAATATTCAGTCCAATGAATGAGTAATGCACATAAACAATGAGTCAATACAGTATGTCATGTAGCGTGTAAAATATATGTACTAGTAATACAAAGTGGGTACTATGTGGTAGGTATGTAGCTACAATATGAACAATAATAAATTGTAGGCTACTGTATGAGTTATTGTAGCTGTCTCCATTAATATGTGTTGCATCTTTGTCCAACAAACTAACTGTATTTTTTTATAGTTTCCCCTCTGTACCCCACCACGGTGGATTTTAAATCAATCAATATGGGATTTTAGACTTTAATTCAAGATATTTATCTGAAGTGTTGCATTAACTGGTTAGAAATTACAATACTTTTTTATACACAGTCCCCCGTTTTCCCAAATTTGAGGATAACAATTAATTGGACAGTTGACTGACAATTATTTTCATGGCCAGGTTAAACCTGGTCCCTCTTATTTCATCACAAATGAAGCAAACATTGTGTGAACCTGATTCAGTGTGTGAAATTTATATTTTACAGCTTTGGCTTTAATTTTAAATATGGGGACCAAGGAGATGTCAGTACAGGTGAAGGAGGCTGGAAAGACCACACAAGAAAATTTAAGTGCATGATGACAGAATTGTTTCCATGCTTCAGAAAAACACCTTCATACCATCAAACCAAGTCAGGAATGCTCTCAAGCAGGTAAGTGTATCATTGTCAAGGTCTAAATTCAAGCCACACCTTCATGAATGGAAATGCAGAGGTTTTGGAACAATGTACCAGATTAGACTTTGCCAGGAAACGCATGGGCAGATAAAACCAAGATTAACTTGTACCCGAATTTGTTTATTACAGGACAGTCTAGGCAATGAGGCAACAGTTTGTTTGTTTGTTTTTTTGCAATTTTACACATTTATTTCTTACAAATTAAGTCCAAAGAGTCCCACTGACAGATTTATTTCATTTATTTGAACTTACTACTAAAAACAGTACTCTAATGTGTAGTTAAAATTCTTTACACTGACAGAAAGGGGAGTTTAGATGGTCTGGCCCACTTGAAATATGGCCCATAATGTAAAAGTTTGACATCCCTGGTCTAGGCCCTTAGAAAGCAGGGATTTTATAGTAAGTTTTACTTGCAGATAAGATAAAAATTCTTAATCCTTTCAAGAGTTTTACTCCCCACATAAAGGGAAAGATATTCCACTAATGGCCACTCATTTCTGTAGCACTTTAACATCACATGAGAATAATTATGTTGTATTTAAAATATATCAAATTTTCCCAGCTGGCAGTAAAAGAGATGCCTAAAATTATAGGCAATATAATCCTTTTGAATAAGTGAAAGCCTTACTTCTCCTTTTATATGTTCATAGAAAGCATTAACCCACCAGTGAGGGAACTCGGGATGTATACAAGCCATAAGAAAGGACAGCTTTGTTGACATGTGTTTCATTTTAATGACTTAGATCCACAGCGATAAAGGAAACACTGTCCACCTCTTTGCTGCCCTCTCTTGTAGTCTTTAATGTATATATAGTGTTGTTCTTTTTTTAAACAATGAATGAAAGGCCATGACACCATCTTTGTTTTTATTCCGCGTAATGAATGTAGGTCAGTTTGCAAGCAGCGTAAGTCTGCGTGCACGAACTGAAATTAAATTTTTGCCTCATTTCACACCCTGTATACATGCACGGACTCTGCTATCCGCCTCACGTGTCATTCTCGTCATTCATTTTCCACGCTGGCTTCGTTCTGCCTGAACATCTGCCCCTCGTCCTTTCCTCTCTCCCTGACTGCGTGGCGACGCCGTCCGTACAAAAACTCCGCTACAGCGAATTTCGGGTCCCTTGTTTCCTTATATGGTGATGAGCGTCGCAGCCTGGCCCCTCCCTAAAACTGTGAGCGAGGCGCGTGCACTAACCGCCGCCGCCGCTCACCGTTCGCTTCCATATTTGGAAGTGAGTTCGACAAAAACCGCAAGGAGGGGAGGGCAGGGGAGAGGAGAGGAGAGAGGATGGATGATGAAGATTTTCCTCCCACTCTGGAAACCCGCTCCGCGTCCGGCTGGGAGATGAATGTCGGTCATTAAACAGTGACAGACTGGTCTCAACTATCAAACACCCCTCACGCGGTTTATGTAATAATTATTACGGCTTTTAAAGGGCAGTTAAAAATGGCAACTGGAATAAACGCTGCAGTCGTGCTAATTTTACTCATCATTAAGTACCACTGAAGGTTAAATAGGTCTCACTTGCCGAGATTTGTAGGTTTTTTCACATTTTAAGAAAAACACATATTCCCATAATGCACTCTGTCATCGGTTTGGTATGTTTGATTTGTTCACGTACACTTGCCGCCACCACCCTAATGAAATATACATATATCAGATGGCAATGGGAAAATTGTGAAACGATACATATTATATATTTAAAAATATTATATATTTAAAAATGAGTTGACAATTAAACCAGGCGCCACTTAGTGCCTGGTTTCATTTTGCGTGGATTAGATTCGAGGCCCTCTCTGTGTTATCGTCATGTTTGTTAATGACCAGTAGGCACAACAGCCGGACTACCGCGGTTAACAGACATTCACTCCCGCTCGTGCACTTTGGTCTAACCGGGGCCGCGCTTAAGGGCGCGTTCACGCTTCGCATCCAGTGTTTGTGAGCAAGAGCGACGATTCAATCGCCTTTTCAATTTCTACGAGACGCAGACGAATCCAGAGCTACAGCTATGGTAGGTTTAACACAGCCTTTTCGTACTTTTGTGTTTTTTATGCATTCTCGATGGCTTTTCTGCCTAATAATGACTCAGTTTAAGCCCGCGGGGAATTTTAACTGGGTTTAATTTTTAAGTGTTTTAGCGTCACTCGAGCCGGCTGTATGCCGCAGGAGCCTGTGCTAGCGCTTGGCTAGGCTGGGGAGCTGACTAGGAAACTGGATGGCTAATAATGCCGTAACGCAGTGTAGTCTTTCAGTGTTCGCATTCAGTGAACTTTCCGAGCGGCAATTTTCACACGATGGAGATAACAGACTAGGTTAATCACTAACGATTTTTTTTTTTTAAGTAAAAGCCACTGGCGCCATTTCGTTCATCTCCCAAGTGTTTCGCCGACAAAAAGCCGCTTTA